GCAGCTGGCTTATAGCAAGTGATTGCTACAGGCATTTCCATCTGTGGCAGGTCTTTTGATCCACACAACACCCCGCACTGAGTGACTGTAATATCATCCATGTTAAAGATGAAGAAATGAGGCCCAGAGAGGTGGGGCCCTTAGCCAACAGCCACACCCATAGATCACAGCAGAGGAGCTGGCCCCGCCTGGACGGCTGTGAGCACCCAGGCTTCACCGTCTTTGAGCAGCCACCCAGAGTGCCAGCTCTGGGTCCCCCTCACTGCAGGCTTACCCTCCTTCGACAACCGTCCGCGCTTTCATCAGACCGATTAGGTAAATTTTGTTTTCTGATTACAAAAATATTACCATCTTATAATTTTTAAAGAGGAATTCGATAAACAAATCAATAAGGTAGAAAGTAGTAATTTCTCAGAGCAGCGCTCCCCGGAGAACACCACTCTTAATGTGATTCTTGTTGGCACCAGAATTTCTTCTTGGTGTGTAGAACGGAGCACTTGCAGTTTTGTATCAAGATTGAGTGTGATTGACTGATAGATGTAGACAGTAATAGAGGTAAACAGAGATATGAAAATGATAGGTAGATAGCTAGAAAGGTAGATAGGCAGAGGATATTATAGCTCTGTCTTTGACTTGCTTTTTCCCAGACTGATCTTTTAAATGCACAGCTTGGACCCCATCCTCCAAACCAAGTCCCCACTCCACAGCTGCAGGCCGTTGTTCCTATGGCCCCTTCAGCCTCAGCTCCCCACCCCCTGATACCGTCCACTGGCCTCTGCCCTGGGGCTCTCCTCACACCACAGGTTGCAGTCCTGTGCTCACCTCCCTTCACTGACCTGCACTCGTCGGAAGTAACGTCAGCCCCGTGCCCACATCTGCCCCCCTTGAGTGTTCATTGGTTGTCCACTCAGACCTGCTTTTATGGGAACTCTTGGTGAGGAGGACGGGGAAGGGGTGCTTGACAACGGTAGAGACTGAGGAGTGGGCCGTACGATGCTAATTGTGTCAGGGTAGCCTGAGGAGGTGGCGAGTACTCGATGACAGGAAGGAGCGGGGAGCACGGTCTTGTGGAGAGAATAGTAAGTGCAGCTGCCTGAGGTGGAAACATGCTGCCCTTAGTGTGGCTTGAGCACTGTGACCAAGACAGGAGAGAGAGGCTTAATCTAATCAGGCATCGCCGCCACCTCTCTGAGAGTCGTGTCTAGGGCAGATTATGAACCACAGCGCCACTGACGTTAGAACCGAAGCCAGCTGTAAAGGAGTCGGTGGAATCCGTTCGAGGCATGAAGCCAGGAGATGTGCAGGGGAGGCTTCATAATCACACCAGAGGGCAGAGGGGTCCGGAAAGGCCATCCCTTCACTCCACTATCCCCCAAATAGGCCCCGAACAACCACCTTTGTGTGCTTGGCTTCTGGATGCCAGAGAAACACCACAGGGAACCAGACCAAAAAGGTTCTTGTCCCCTGGTAGGGAGACATGCCAAAAAGAAGGTGCGTGTTTTGTCAGGTTGTGATAAGGGTGACAGAAAAAAAATGCAGCTGGAGACAGAGTCAGATGGGGGTGGGGGGGCTTTTAGATAAATTAAAGAAACTTGAATACAGCGGGGAAGGGAGCCATGGGGCTGAGGTGGGCGGAATCTGGAGAAGGGAGGGCCTTCTAGGCAAGTGGACCAGCAAGTACCAAGACCCTGAGCGCGGAGCGTGCTCCTCTTCCAGGAAGGCCAGAGAGCTGGTAAGAGCAAGGGGAGAGGGAGGGCGCCCATGCAGGGCACATGGGTGCCATTCAACCATGGGATTGGTGTTGCTGTTGCTGCAGGATTGGAGGGGGAAGGAGGCTCTGAGCCAAACCCTGATCCACCTGCACAGAAAACCAGCAGAGCAGGGCTCCCCTGGGCAGATGGAGGGAAAGCTGCTTCTTCGGTGCCCTGGAGATGACCAGGGGGGAATAACCAAGGATCCACAACTTTCATTTCATGCTCTCCACAAAATCTGATCGGTTTCAATCATGTGTGCATGCTTTTGTAAACTTTTTAATTTAAAAAGTATAGAGGCCCTGGCCCATGTGGCTCAGTTGGTTGGAGCATCTTCCTGTAACCAAAGGGCTAATTCCTGGTCAGGGCACATATCCCGCTGATCCCAGGTATGTGCCCTGGGATTCCCCCGTCAGAGAGCGTCCAAGAAGCAACCAATTGATGCTTCTCTCTCACATCAATATTTCTCTCTCTCCCTTCTTCTTTTTCTAAAAGCAATTAAAAAATGTCCTGGGGTGAGGATAAAAAAATAATTTTTAAAAAAATATATAGAAAGTGTGAACACTTTAAGACTTTTTAAAATGGTATCACTAGTATCCCATTTTTCTGAAGATAAATGTAGGTATAGAAAAAGCAACAGAAAAGAAAAGTTAATGGATAGTTACTCTCTAGGTAGAGCTATTACTGGAGAGTGTAATTGTTTTCTTTGCACTTTTCAGCGTTTTCCAACTTTTCTATAAAGACCACATATTACAATAAGATGTGAAAATACATGGAAAGCCTAAATTACCTCTAAAACACTCCTGTACCAGCCACAGGAAGAAGCAAATGTTAACATTTGGTCCTAATTGGTTCTGATCATTTTTTTCCTTTTTAGTGAAAGAAAACAGTAAGGATGAGGTTGAAGCCCCTTTCCCAACTCCCTCTGTCCCCCAGCCCCAATTCCATTCTCCCCTGTCTTCCCCAAAAAACAACTACTGCCCCGAGTCTGGAGCGAAGTCGCTGTTTCCTGTATTTACGTTTGACCACGGTCATGTTAAGAGGAAGTCTGTATTTGTTGTGCTGACAAAATAACCAACAGGGCTTTTTTAACAAAACTCCAAACAGTGCATAAATTATAAAATGGAGAAAGAACGCCCCGCCCGACCTCTAGAGAAAACAGAGTAATTAACAGCTAGAATAGAAACTTCTGGAGCTTGTCAGCCCAGCCCCAGCACGGGGGTCTGTCTTGTCCGTCCTGTATCCACCAGGACAGGACAAGCAGTGGGGGCTCCATACATGCTGAAAACATTTTTCAGTTTCTTGGATTATACCCATTTTCAAAGTAAACTGCTTTAATTTGGGATATTTTTGATTCACAGAAAAGTTGCAAAGAATAGCACAAACAGCTCCGATAGGCCCCTCGCTGTTTCCCCTATGGCTAACAGCTTCTAGAACTGTTACAGGAAAAACTCCTCCTAAGGAGGTTCTTCTCACCAAAGCAGTGATGGATTAAAGATGGGCGAGGCTATCAGCATGCGGCGCAGGGTTTACCGTGACCCCTTCTCATGGAAGAGAATGGGCCTAGCTAAGGTGGGGCTGGGGAGCTGAAAGGCATAGGGTCGGGGTGAAGCAGGGTAAGGGTGGAGAAGGTAAGGGCGGCCAAAGGCGAGTGTGGCAAGCACAGGGGTGGTGAAGGCTGAGGGCTGGGGTGGCAGGCACTCCCGTGGCCAGAGGCCAGAGAGCCAAGAGCGCAAAGCCCCTCAAGCCCTTCTTTCTAAGGACTTAATATAGTTGGCGGGTTGGGATGACAGGGAAGAAGGTACATGCTGATTGGCAGGCGAGGGTGGTGCTAGTTTTCCAGGAGGGTGCATGAATACCCAAAGGTATCAATGGGCTTCCTCCTTTCCGCACGAGGGGCCCTTTCAGGCCTCGCCCTCGGGATGAAGCACAGTTGCAAAGACTTTCTTTCCCAGATAATGGAAAAGATACTTAGAACTTCAAGGACTACTGCTGGGCCAGTGGGTGGGACAGGTACCCTCCTCCTCCCTGCCTTTGTTTGCTATCTGTCTTACCTGTTGGAACCATGATCCATCTGTAACTACTCAGAAATCATGTTTCTTAGCTGTGTTACAAATCACGACACTCCCGGCTTTATTTGGGTGCCCCCCGTTTTTGCGGTGATGCTCCCGTTCTGGCCCAGAACCCCACATTCCATTGTGTCCTCCTGGCTGCTGGGTCTCCTCCAGTCTGCAACAGCTCATCAAACTTTTTTCTTTTTCACAACTGGGACATTTTTTGCACTGAGAAGGTCATCTGAAGAACATCCCTCAATTTGACCCGGCCAATGTAGTTCCGTGGATTGAGTGCTGGCCTGTGAACCAAAGGGTTGCTGGTTCGATTCCCAGTGTAGGACACATGCCTGGACTGCCCCAGGCCCCCAGCAGGGAGCGTGCAAGATGCAACCAGGTGTTGATGTGTCCCTCTCTTTTTCCCTCCCTTCCCCTCTCTAAAAATAAATAAAACCTTAAAAACACTTTTTTCAAAAAAAAAAATAATATCCCTCAATTAAGGTGTAGCTGGTATTGTTCTCATCATTAGGCTGTTTACCTGTTGCTGGAAGAAACCCACAGAAGTGAGATGCCCTTCTCACTCCATTATATCAGGGCCACAGGATATCCTGCCAACTTACTACTACATGAGGCAGGGCCACCTGGTTAAGTGGTGTCTGCCAGGTGTCTCCACTGCGAAGATCCCATCTTTCGCTTTTCCATACTTGATTCATTGGCTGGGAGTCCGGGACTCTTCTGAGCCCTCTCCACACTCAGAAGGAAGCTGGAAGGATCGAGTGCTAGCTCCTAGAGGGCCTGTCAGCTTCACATGATTTAGAATTCTTTCGAAGGAAGATTTGACTCTTTTGCCCTCACACCCATCTTAAAGACCTGAAAACTGAGGTTGAAGACAGCAGACTTCCTCGTTAGAGGGTGGCCCAGCCCAGGGTGAAGCCCCACCCAGAGCTGGATGAGGGCTGTGGCGCCACACGTGTGCAGGCAGGTAGTGACTGGGCCTGCGTGGGAGAAAGGGCAGGAAATCGGGTCCCCAAGCGCAGTCCTGGGCCCCAGGAGTTGGGTACAGGCCGCCTTCTGAGGCGCTTACCCCATTTACACAGAAGCTGCCTGCGCGGGGAGGCGTGGAGCCGCGGGGTGGCCCAGCAGGATTCCAGCAGCGGGGCGTGGCCAGCCCGGCCAGGTGCGGAGCCTGGGCCCCAGAGGTCACCTGGGTCGGCCCTGAGCCCGCCGGCAGGGCGGGTGGGCCGCTGCCACCTGAAAGCGGGGCAGCCTCCGACTGCGAGCGCCCCGCACTTTCGGCAGCTCGGCTCCCCCCGGCGCCTGGCGTTGACCTCGACCCGGGCCCTGCCCACTGAAGGTGAGACCGGTCCTGCAGGTATAGACGTGCTGGCTGTCCCCATGGGAGGGGTCTCCCCCTGTTCCCGTGACCCATTTCCTGTTTTCTAGGCTACAGCGAGGGACAGCCCGTTGGTGCCGGCTTACCCAGGCGTTGAATGAGGGGCCCCTCCCCACCCCGGGAAGGGACTGTAGGGACCAGCCCAAGTGTGCAGGGCACTAATCAGGCGGGAAGAGGGAGGCAGGGAGGTGAGGGCAGGTCAGACAGGCCACAGGTGCAGGGGCTCCAGTGCCCAGCACCTGCCCACCTACCCTCAGAGGCCGGGGCTTCTTGGAGAGCCAACAGGCAGCTGCCGAGGGGGTGAGGATCAAAGTCAAAAGTCTGTGGTCACATGCCAGAGTCATCTGCTGCCTCCTGTTTGGGTTCCTCCTGCAGGAATGGGGGTGGGGAGGGGGGGAGGAGAGGGCGGGGTGGGCAGGACTTCCTGGAAAAGGGAGACCCTGCTGTTTGGGGGAGGGGGTGACCCTGGGGCACATACTTAGATGTTGTCAAGCACACCACACACAGCATACACACCCCTCACATTGAGACACAACGCAGACAACACAACAGGACCCAGGCACAAAACTGGGACACTCAAGTCATCATCCCACACAGTTTCAGTTGTGAATTCAAGTGCACATCACAGACACATGGGCCTCAGTGTGCACATCTACAGGGACACAGCAGGCATGTGACACAGGCAGGCACACTGGGCTACACAAAGAAAACAGCTCAGACAAGCCCAGACACAGGCAGACAAACATGTCCTTGGAGAACATGGACACATGAAAGACGTGTCTGGCTGGGACACAGGGAGCATGCGCAGATAACGGCACCCCATCCCACAGCACCACCAAGCGCACGTGGACAGGAGCTGTGGGGGTAGGCGGGGCCGCACGTGTGCGCCAGACGCGGAACCCAATCCATTGTCCAGGGCTGGGGAAGTCCAAGGCTCACATGACCCAAGGAGAGGGCTACAGCCTCTGGAGAATCTGCATCATCCTCACTAATGATCCATTTCCGTCCCAGAGAATAAAGGCTCAGTGACTCTTGCCAGTTCTGCCTTGTAACTCACCTGCCTCTTGGAGCGCACAGCTGACGGGCTTGTGCCTCTGCCGGGGTGAGTGCTGGATCCTCCGGGATGAGGGAGGGCGGAATGAGCCTGCATGGCCACCCTCCCTGGCCCCTGGCTGGACCCCGCCCACCCGCTCACCCGCCCAGCCAACTTTGCCCTAAAGTCCTGGGCACCAGGGCGCCCCTGGGGGTTTCCCGCTGGGCCAGAGCAGGGCAAGTGGGCGTCTCAAGAACCTTCTGCCCAGGCCTCTGCCCAGACGCTTGTCTCTCCCCTCCTAGATGGACACAAGGACAGTGCTGCTCATCCTGCAAGCCTCGTTGGTGCTCCCCCTGGCTGATGGCAGTGACCCCGTCCTGCGCTTTGTGGCTGTGGGTGACTGGGGAGGGGTCCCCAATGCCCCATTCTATACAGCCCGGGAAACGGCCAATGCCAAGGAGATGGCTAGGACGGTGAAGATTCTGGGCACAGACTTCATCCTGTCTCTGGGGGACAATTTCTACTTCACTGGCGTGCAGGATGCCAATGATAAGAGGTTCCAGGTGTGTGCCCCTGGAGCGGGGGTGGGGGCAGGTAGAGAAGCCTCTCAGCCTTTTGATTCTGAAGAAGGCAGAGGGAAGCTGACATTCGTGGGGACCTAGAGCACTCAGCGTCTCTCTCGTCCCGGCTCCTGACTGCTGGGAGCATCGACATGGCTGCTTGACCTTGGGGCGGGGGCGCCCTTTCTGTCTGCTGCAGGAGACCTTTGAGGATGTGTTCTCTGCCCCCTCCCTCCGCGGCGTGCCCTGGTACGTGCTGGCTGGCAACCATGACCACCTGGGCAACGTCTCAGCACAAATCGCCTACTCCAGGATCTCCGAGCGCTGGTGAGCCTGTTCCCCTCCCATCCCCCGAGCCTCGCAGACGGAGGGGCTCGCTGGCCTGAGCTGACCCCGGGGCCTCTCCACCCAGCACGTGTGCCCACCGTCTGTGCCCCTCCACAGGAACTTCCCCAGCCCTTACTACCGCCTGCACTTCAAGATCCCACGGTCCAATGTGACTGTGGCCATCTTCATGCTGGACACAGTGACACTGTGTGGCAACTCAGATGACTTCCTCGGCCAGCAGCCTCAGAGGCCTCGTGACCCAAAGATGGCCCACTCGCAGCTGTCCTGGCTCAAGAAGCAGCTGGCAGCGGCCAAGGAGGACTATGTGCTGGTGGCTGGCCACTACCCTGTGTGGTCCATCGCCGAGCACGGGCCCACCCACTGCCTGGTCCATAAACTGCTGCCCCTGCTGGCCACGTACAAGGTCACCGCCTACCTGTGTGGCCACGACCATAACCTGCAGGTGAGAGACCTTCAGGGGGGTGGGGTGGGGAGCCAGGGAAGGCGTTCTCACGCTGGTTGACGTGCCACATGGCACATGGGGATCCTCCTGCTGTTTGGAGGTCTCCCAAATGGCACTCCCCCTCAAACTTGATCCTCTTTAACCAGGAAAACAACCCAAAATTCCCTAAAAGCCATCATAATAGCTAGCAGTTGCCAGTACTTACTCAAGGCAGACTTGTGAAGTAGGATCAACACACTTCTACAGTTGGGGAAACTGAGGCCCAAAGGGCACTTGAGACCCTGGACTCAAGACAGGTGGGCACAAAGCCCGTGGTCGACCCCACTGAGGGGGTGGGGGCTCCACTGACCCCGAGTCCTCCACCCACAGTACCTTCAGGATGAGAACGGCATCGGCTACGTCCTGAGCGGGGCTGGGAACTTCATGGACCCCTCGAAGAGGCACTTTCGCAAGGTTCCCAGTGGCTACCTGCGCTTCCACTACGGGGATGAGGACTCACTGGGCGGCTTCGCCTACGTGGAGATCAGCCCCAAAGAAATGAGCATCACTTACATCGAGGCCTCCGGCAAGTCCCTCTTCAAGACCAGGCTGCCAAGGCCAGCCAGGCCTGAGCGCTGGTGAGGGGCCTAAGGCAGAAGGGCTGCCCTGCCATAGGGCGGTGGGCCCCGCTGAGACCCTTGCCCTTTGACAGGCCTTCTCATGGGCCTGTGGTCCTGCTGAGCAAGAAGGAAAACCGCACATGCTCTTGAACCTGACATCCTTCTGTCATTGCCAAACATTCAATAAAAGAATGAGATGCAAGGCTGCAAGTGTGTCTTGAGTGTCCCTTTCCTCACCTCTCCGGGGAGTTGCAATGCCTGGGTTCTAGAGTGTCCGGCTCTCTGCCTTGCTGGACTCCACGTCTTAACCCTCCTTCCACAGCCAGCTGGCCCCATACAGGGACATGACTTTAAGTAAAGGCCGGACAGAAGAAAGGGCACAACACACAATCTTTCCTCTCCCAGCCCACCTCCCTAGGGACAGCCACCACCGTCAGTTCCTCTCTTTTCACAGCTGAATGTCTCCATCATAAAAACATCCGTTCTTTATAGAAAGCAACACAATATCCCCTGCAGGTGTTTAACCACAACTCTTCTTTCTACTTAAACCACAACTCAACTGTTCATAGCAGAACACTCATTTTGTTAATTTCAACATGCAATTGTTGTTATATGGCTTCTGAGATGAAATCTCTCACCCCTTCCCTGTCTTTCCCTCCCCCTCTCTTTAAAAGAAATCTTTCTATACATGCTCTTTTTTCCTTCCAGGATTTCACCATGCAAATAAAAGCAAACGTCAATGTTTTTTTTCCCTCCCTTCTCACTGATCCACACCTTGCTTTTTAGGGGTTTTTTTTTCCTCAAAACAACTTTATTTAGGCATAATTGACACATTTAAAAGATACAGCTCCATAAGTTTTGATAAAGATACACACCCACAAACCCTTACCACAATTAAGATATAAGCATGTCCCACACCCCCAAAGGTGCCCTCTGTACTTTCCTGTTCTGCCTGTCTCTCCTGGAGATCTGTCCACCAGCTCTCCGTGGCTCCCAGTGCATCTGCAGCTACCGAGGCCCCACTGTGTGCCTGACCCACTGCCTACGTAACCAGACATCTCCTGAGCAGGAGTGTACAAATTTTTGGCGCCTCTGGGCCACACTGGAAGAAGAAGAGTTGTCTTGGGCCACACATTAAACACACAAACACGAAAACTGATGAGCAAAAAAAAGGTTTTAGGTAAATTTACAATTTCGCGTCGGGCTGCATTCATAGCCATCCTGGGCCGCATGTGGCCCATGGGCCACGGGTTTGACACCCCTGTAAGGGTTGCCGGGGTTGCCAGGGTTGCTCCCAATAATTTGGCTATCCTCAAACTATGCCGCAACAAGTGATCCTGTCCCCGTATCCTACATGGGCAGATACGTTTGTAGGATAAACAAGAGCAGGACTGCCGTTCTTTTTAACAGCCACGGAGCTTCCACCTGTCTCTGGCTCCCTGCTGGGGCCTGTGAAATCTCCAATCTTTCCCTTTTACCAGCATAGCTAGAGCGGACATTCCTGGACCCATGCTTTTGTACATCGGTGCAAGTGTGTATGTAGGAAAACGTCCAGAAGTGGAATTATTTCAGGGCCAGTTTCTCACAATGAATGCTAAAAGCAGAATGTGCGTCCTGAGCTGAGGCTGCAGAGAAGCCCAGTTCCTCTTCTGGGGAGAGTTGACTAACACCCACCCACAGCAGCAGGGGAGTCACAGAAACGTCTCCCTTGGCCCGCCCTCAACTGCCGCTTGAGCTGCCAGCCCAGCTGAGTGAAATGAAAAATGAAATCTCTTGGACAAAACATAACTGAAGTTACTGCTGGGGAGAGGAACTTGGTGAAGGGACACCTTCCAGTCCCTAAGTTAGAGACCTCCATAGTGTTGAATTTGTTACACGTACAAGTGTTACTGCTAAAATTAAGCAAAGCTGTCTCACCCAAAGACCAGCCCTGAGTTACTTCCAACTGATGTTTAGTTGGCTGGCATTACTACCAGCCAATCTCTTTGCAAAAAAGGGGGGGGGAAAAAAACCCAACACCATCACTTCTAATCCTGACCCACAAGGGAAGGGCTATAATCAAACTTGCTTCTCAAAGAACATTACAGAAACCAAAGAGATAACGTGCCCAAGGTCACATCCTGAAAGTGGCAGACTCAATCTTAACTGAGGCAGTCAAAGCAGCTCACAGCTGCTCACCCTACCTCTTCCTACTGACTCAGAGGTTCTGAACAGGAAGGGGTCTGAATCAGAGGTTAGCCCAATGTCGCTGTTGGCAGGGCGCAAAGCGTGGAATCAGCCCAATGTCCCCGATCACAGGGCCCAGAACTTGGAAAGGAGAAGTGACACATCAAAGCAGGTGCTGGAATGTGTGGCAAGGACGGGGCTGGCCCCCTCCTCCACAACGACCAAGCACTTCTACCAAGCATTAAGGACCATGGCCTGTGCCAGAAAGTTGGGGACACAGGAGCACGAAAAATAATAAAGCAGGGTAGACCCTCAGAGGGCTTCTGTCCAGCTCAGGGAACAATGCCAACCAGCACATAGCCATTGTTATAAAGATGCCTTCTAAACTGACAGAGTTCCTCAAGACCAGTCGCAGGGACTTACCTCATCTCATTCTTCCCAAGTGAGAACATCTGATTCAATCATGACAGATATTATCATGTCACACCCTACTCATCACACCAAGTGCTAGAATGGACACCAGGACCCTTAAGCAGCAAGCCCGTTGTCCCGGGAGAATCATGCCACACCCACCTCCTCACTGGCTAACAGGGCCGAGAATTATGAACAAGAAGGTAAGAGACCTGCACGACCTTGGCTCCTGGAAAATGTCCAGAGGGAATCCAGGAAAAAACTCAAGAACACACCAGAACGTGATGTAGGTTGAAGGTGGTATTGCAACGTCACAGAAAAGGTATAAATTGCCTTGTTGATTTGCCCAGAGGAAGACAGAGCCTGAACCCTACTTCCATCCACATACAAGAATAAATTCCAGAGGGATCACATATTTCAGTGTAAAAATATAACAGAAAAGAAGATGAAAATGAGTATCCCCACAAAGATCTGAATGAGATGGATCATAGGAACTCTACTCATCATTGTCCCCAAACTGGAAACAACCCAAATGTCCATCAATAGTTGAAAGGATAAACGAGCCGGTATATCCTCATAATGGAATACAACTCAGCAATAAAAAGGAACATACTACTGAGAGACACAACATGGACTTGAAGGTAGTTAGCTGAGTAGAAGTCAAACTCAAAAGGCTACACATTGTATTATTCTGTTTTTGTGACTTTCTGAAAAATACAAAGCTATAGTAACTAAACACAGATCAATTGACGCCAGGGGTTGGGGGCAGGGAAGGAATTAACTACAAAGAGACAGGAGGAAGCTTCTTGAGGCAATGGAAACGTTCACTATCTTGATTGTGGTGATGGTTTCACGGGTATATGCATATGTCAAGACATAAAATTTCATAGTTTAAATACATGCAGTTTATTTTCTGCCGATTATATCTCAATAAAGCTGTGAAGGAAGGAAGGGAGGAAAAAGCTAACCTGGCAATCCTCAGCAAATAGAGGATTGCTCACGTACCATGGCAGAGTTGCACTATGAATTAATTGTGTAGCCACTAAAAACAAGAGTTACTTGTATATGTATTGACCACTAAGTGAAAACAGCAAGTTGCAAAACACCATTTATTTTATGATCCCTTCCTGTGTACGGCCAGGTTTGTAACCAGCACTGAGAAGGGGTCTTCTCAGCCACTTCCAAGTCTAACACTGCCCCCTAGCGGAAATCCTGGAGTTAGGTCTGTTAATATACTTCTCATTACAAGTTATTTTCCTGAACACTAATCAAACAGCTCTTATCAAGGTCACCAGTGATCAAACGCTGCATTGTAGTAAGATCCTAAGGTCCTTGTTAAATCTTGAGAAGAGCCTCTTACAAGCTTCCCCTCACCCTGATTGAGCCATACTAGTATTTGCAATTCCTTAGCACCGGCTATGTTAATGTATCCCACATTGGAGACCTGGGTGGGCTGCGAGGGACAGGGATTTGAATCGACAAAGTCAAGTGAGAATCCCCAGGAAGATGATGCGACCGCGGACAAGGATGCCTTTCCGGCTTTCGGATGGCCTGGCCCACCGCCCCTGAAACGCAGGAATTGCCACCGCAGGAAGCGACTAGGAGTGATACCCTCTAGCGTGGCGACCGTCAAACGCGCTCCAGCCCTTGCGCAGGCGCACTGCGAAACTACCGCCGGCCTTCCACGCCCCGCCCCCAGGAATGCGAGTACGCATGCGCACAGAGATGGAGGAGGCGGGTCCTGCCCGCTGGGCTGTCCCGGCTGCAGGTAGGCAGGACTTGAGGGGACAGGAGGACGTTCCGCTTCCGCTGAGGGCCGGAAGTCACTGTCTCCCGGGTGAACGCGGCTGTCCCAACGAGGAAAGGAGAGTGCAGGTGACTGTTCGCGCGGGAGGGCTTAGGAGTCGAGCAGGGCAGGGTGCTTTTCGACTCGGCGCCGCTCACAGGGTGTTGGAGGAGGCACCGAGGGCCACGGGCTTGGAGGGTGGTCCATCGGGGAGCTTGACTCCTCCGGGTCCTAGCCGGCGAAGCGCGGCTGCTCGGAGGCCTTGCTTCTACCGGCGGGAGGCGCCGCCAAAACCTTGGAGAGCCTGGTGGGGCCACCCACACTCCCACTTTTTGGGTCACAGCAGGATCGGAGGCCGACCCCTCTACCATCCCTCGCTTGGCGCGATTGGACTTATGTCGCTGTTACCGAAGGGACGGGCCGAGACTCCTCTTTTATAGGCCGGCCAGCCCCGTTTTCTGAGGTGGGAGTAGGGTATTGTAGTCACGGGGTGAAGTGATATTCGGGAGCCCATTTGTAGCTTCTGATTCAGGCGACTCACTTACTCATTCAGCAAATTGTTACTGAGGTCCTGGCCGGATAGCTCAGTTAGCTAGAGTGTGGTCCAACACGCCAAGGTTGCGGGTTCGATCTCGGGTCAGGGCACATACAAGAATCAACCAAGGAATGCATAAATAAGTGGAACAACAAATTGATGTCTCTTTCCCTCTCCCCCTCCTTTTCTGTCAAATCAATAAATTTAAAAAATAGTTATTAAACACTTAATGCATACTAGGCACTGTGAGTGCTGGGGCTTCAGCAGTGTTCAAATCATGCCCCCTCCCCGCCTTCCAGAACTGACATTCCAGTGGGGGGAGATCTGGGGTGAGGTTCAGAAATCAGCCTTTTTTGGGGACACCCCCCCCAGGTGATTCTGTTTCAGGTGGTACCCAGGGCTGAGCTTTGCAAAAAAAAAAAAAAAACAACAAAAAACAGTCCTGGCAGGTGAGAGCATGGGCTACAGAACTGACTACACCTTACAAAAGCCTGCAGGGTCTTGTGGGGTCTGTTGCTTACCTCTTATGTCTCATCTCATACCCGTCTCCATGGGTCACTGAGCTTCAGCTCTACAGTCTTCTTTCTTCCTCTCAAGGAAAGCTTCTTCCTCAGAGCCTTTGCAGTTGCTCTTCCCTCTTCCCGCACTACCTTGCATGGTGCCTTCTCTTGTCATTCAGGCCTCAGCTTGTGACTTACCCAGAGGGTCCTTCCCGCTCTACCCTCACCTGAAGTAGCCCCATTCTGGAAGTGTTCATGTAATCCTATATTCACCTCATAGGACATAACAATATTTGGAATGATTTCACTTATTAGCTAACTTGTTAAGGGCCTGTGTGCATCCACTACAGTAAAGTTTCACAGAAGCAGATACCTTGCCTGCCTTGATTGTACCGTTGCTGTGGTTTGGTGTAGGGCCTGGCATTGGTTTATTCATTCATTTGCTCAGTAAATATTTGTTGAGTGCCGGCTCTGTGCCTTGAGCAGTTTCTGGCCCTGAGGATACAAAGACAGAAGTCCCTGCCCTCATGTAAAGTTGAGTCCCTTTACATGTGGGACATGGGTTGGATGCAAGGAGACCACTGAGGAGGTTGTTGTGATAATCCAGGCCAGAGGTGACCAGGACTCCAGACTCAGACCAGGGCACTGGCCCTAGAGGTGGTGGGAAGCGGTCAGCGAGATCAGGGTCAGATAAGGGCTGTGTGAGAGAGAGAAGAATCAAGGATGAGTCCGAGGTTTTTGCAAAGATGAATTTGCTATCTGCTGAGATGGCGAAGACTGTGAGAGACCAGGTTGAGGTGTCAGGAGCTTGGTTTTGGACAGGTTACATTTAAACGTCTGTTAGCATCAGGTGGAGGTGTGACTAAAACAGGTAGACCGGCGAGTCTGTGATTCAAAGGAGACATCAAGGCCAGACAGGCAGGTGGCATCAGTACAGCAGAGGCATTTAAAGCTCCGAGGCTGGGTGAGATCTCCATGGAGCTGAGTGTAGCCGGAGAGGGGAGAGGCCCAAAGATACTGAGTTTGTGCACTCTTATCTTTAGAGGAAGGGGGGACGGGGGAGGGGGATCAGCAGCTGAGAGGCAGAGAGTGAAAGGGCCTGCCAGTGAGTCGGGCAGGAGAGTATAGGGCTCTGAGGGCTGTGAGGGAGGGGCAGGAAGAGGGACCCAGTGTGCGCAGTGCCCTGAGGAATGGGGACTGCCCCTTGGGGTGGGCAGCATGGAGCAGGTGGTGGGGAGAGAATGGAAGGGAGCGCAGAGGGTGAATGGCAGGCAGCAGTACTAGAAAAGCCTGCAGAAAATGAGAAGTCTCATTTTTTTAATGATGGGAGAGGTAGGAAAGAGTATGTTATTAGTCCAATAGTGACAGAGAACGTGATGTGGGGACCCAGGGGACAAACTGATTCTGTGGGGACCACCGACATTCTTCCAAAGCAAAGGAGAGAAGGCCAAATGGGTGGTCCTGCGGGCTTGTGGATGTTCTTTGCCAACTGTTTCTGTTTATTCAGTGACTTGGAAGCATCCTCAGTTAAGAATGTGGATGTTCTGACAGCATGGATGGATCTAGAGGGTATTATGCTAAGTGAAATAAGTCAGAGAAAGACAAATACCATATGATTTCACTTATAAATGAGCAAACAAGACAGAATCAGACTGATAAATGCAGAGAACAGACTGATGGTTGCCAGAAGGGAGGGGAAGTGGGGGACTGGGTGGAAAAGATGAAGAGATGGAGTACAGATTGGTAGTTACAAAACAATTATGGGGGTGTAAAGTACAGCATAGGAAATACGGCCAACAATATTGTAGTGAGTATGTATGGTGCCAAGTGAGTACTGGAAATATCAGGGGAACACTTTGTAAAATATCTGATTGTCTAACTATGTTATACACTTGAAACTAGTATAAAATAATATTGAATGTAAACTGTAATTGAAAAAGTTAAACAAAATTTTTTTTAAGAATACGGCTGTTACATAGAAAGTGATTGTTAAATATGAACGAAACCCTGGTTCTTTCCTCTGGCAGACTGCTGGCCTCCCCTGTCGTGGAGGAATGATGCGAGAACCAGCAGCGGGAAGAGAGAGAAGGGCAGCGTGTGATTGGGGGGTGGAGGGCGCCCCTTGGAAGGTTCAGGATGGTGGGCACAGAGCCCAGTGCCTGACAGAGAGATGCACCCAGTGGTCACTGCCTCCAAGACATATGTCCCGATGGCATCTGACCCCATCATTTTTCTCTTGCTTCGTGGTAGACATCAGAGAGTAATGCTGCCATCTCCCCCTACCCATCGACTCTCTTGCCCATCACAACCTTGGAAGTCGTTCTGGACGCTTCCTTCTCTAGCCGTACTCACTCCACTGACTTGTCTCCATGGTCTTGCCAACTGCCCTCTCCATCCCAGATAGTCCTGTCCCAGTGCTGACGTCACCTTCATCCACACTGTGGACCCATACTCCGCAGTCCCTTAAAAACACAGAGTGATGTTATTTCTCTCTCGTGGCTGTCAGGATCCAACTAAACACTCGAAACCTCACCTGCTCCCTCTCGAGCCTGCCCCCCCTCCCGCTGAGTGGTCCCCAGCCACCAGCCCGGCATTCAGATGCCTGCCCCTCAGCCTTGCTCATTGTACTTCTCTGCTCAAAGCACTTCTCTGTTCAGTGGCCCCTCCGCTGTGCATAGGCCGCCCAGGGAACACATTGGAGGCTCTGTCAAATCCCTTGAGAGTCGTTCCTCCTGGGTGGTATTTGCATGTCCCTTGACCAGAGGAGCAGCTGCTTCTAAAATCAACAAAACCACTGGCTTCTGAGCACTTAGGCTCAGCCCAGACCTGGGCAACTGGCCCATCAGAGAGTCCCTTGTATTATCCTTACCAGAAACGGTGGCTTCTTGTTTAGGTGCTAAAGATGGATGGGCTATACACTCTGCACGCACTTAGAATTTGTCGTGCCAGCCCCTTGGTGGTAGCAACCTCATCTCTTTTATAAATAAGGAAACTGAGGCACAGAGAGACTAAGTAACCTACTTGAGGTCATGTAGTAAGTGAGGGTGCCAGGGTGAGAATGCAGAACCTGCTCTCACCCGCTCTACCCAGAGTGCAGTGGGATTGTCTGCTGTCCCCAGAAGGTGTCATTGTGCAGGCTCTCCCGTCACCGTGGGCCAGCAGGACTGTCTTCCCAGCCTGCTTCCCAGAGCATCTGAAGGACTCCTCGTGGGTGCCATGAGTCGCTAACTTTTGGCCCCCTCCCCGCACAGGTTCACCCTCCTGCAGACATGGGGCGCAGAAAGTCAAAACGGAAGCCGCCCCCAAAGAAGAAGATGACAGGCACCCTAGAGACCCAGTTCACCTGCCCCTTCTGCAACCATGAGAAATCTTGCGACGTGAAAATGTGAGTAGAGGGTGGGGGCCAGGAGTCCTGCCTCACAGGGATCCTCCTCCCTTACTTGGAAATTGCCTCCCCCATAGACACAAGCCTCTGCTCACCAGTCCCTTCGTCTCCTCCCATTCCAGGGACCGTGCCCGTAATACTGGAGTCATCTCTTGTACCGTGTGCCTAGAAGAATTCCAGACGCCCATCACATGTATCCTTGGGAAACATCTTTTTCCAGAGGGTGAGGGTGGGGTGGTCAGAGCTGCTCTATCCAAGGTGGGCTGCTCGAGGGCACTTGGCTAAGGGCAAGGGGGTAGAATGCGCCTCTGGCCCTGCTCTGTGCCTTGTTCCAGGCCGTGGCCACCCAGAGGAATGAGTGCCACCTTCTTGCCTAGCTAGGATGACACTGTGCAGGGCAGGGATCTGGCCGACACCAGCATGAGCAGCAGAGCTGTGTACGGGAAGGGGTCCGATGCTAGCAGTGACCCTTGACTTCAGTGGCTCAGATCTGTCAGAACCAGTGGACGTGTATAGCGATTGGATAGACGCCTGCGAGGCAGCAAATCAGTAGCAATGCAGAGGATCCACCCCCTTGGCAGCCCGGCTGCCGTGGACCAGCCCACTGGGTGCCATTCCAGAGACATTCCTGAGGTCCGGGGTGTGGGTCCAGGGCCCTCACAGCCTTCTGTGTGTGCATGTTGAGTGGATGCGAGCGTGAGTGTGTGGCTGCAAGTGTGGCCATGAGGGTGTGCTCATGGGCAGGGGCTGGAATCGAGGGGTTGCTGGGCTCCAGGGACCTGAACTGCCTCCCTTGGATCCAAAAGCCTTTGACTTGCTCCCCCTTTCAGCCACCAATCCCCTGGCTCTAGGGCTCTGGCTTCTCCAGGGCCAGTGCCCTAACAGCCTGGCTGAGGGCAAGCCCTGCGGTCAGCCTCGGGACTCTCCCGCCTCCTCACCCACCTCCCCAGCACCCTGCCCGTGTGACCTGGACTGCCTGCCCTCCTCTGCCTGCCGAGGGCTGTGGCCTGGGCTTCAAAGCCGCAGGCCCCTCGGCTGGGCCTTCGCAGGGAGGCCTGGTTCATGTTTAGTTGCTTTTAGAGGATGAAGGAGCTGGGTCAGGACAACTGTTAGTCATGAGCCCTTAAATAAAGCAGCTGATTCAAACTCCTGGCTCTCTGATTTCCTCGGTTCTGCTTAGCCCCGGTGCTCAGTGAGGGGGGCAGGGAGGAGACTGACCTGGCAGGCCGTTGGAGGTGGGGTTTGGTAAGTCCTTCAAACTGTCCAACACTTGTCCACTAGTCAAGCATTCAGGGTGAAACTAGGCCACTGCTGGGCGCAGGGTACACCAGTGACCCCACAGGCATTCAGGCAGGCATTTCGTTCCGGTGAGAAATAGGGCCAGCAGAGCCTGGGGTGGGCTGGGGCCGGGTGGTTGGGGAAGGCTTCCTGGCCTGAGGGGGGCAGTGCTCAAGGGCCACTCAGTGCCAGTGGCTGCTCTCAGGCTTCCCTGCCTTACCCCCTTGTCCCAACAGCCACCTGTGAGGCAAGCGCCCCAGGCTCTCAGATGAGGAAACAGGCCGGAGATGGGAGGTCACTGGCCCGAGGTCCCACAGCCAGAAGGCAGCACAGCTCGTCCTTAAACCCAGGACACCAGAAGCCTGGCTTCACAACCCAGGGTCCAGGCTGAGGGAACAGCTCTTGGTTTTGTGGAGACTGGGGTGCTCTGGAGTAAGGGTCCACAAGAGGGACCTCTGTCCAAGGCTGGTAAGGAGTCTCAAAAGCTGGAGGTGGTGCCAGATGCAGGAGTGTGGTACAATATATATTGGTCTTCGTACCTGTTCCTGGCACAGAGCTCCTAAAACCCTTGGAATTTCCAGAATGGTCACCCTGAATGGGACTGAGCGGAACTTGCAGCCACACCTGCCAACCCCTGGAAAAGGAAAAGGGGAGACTACAGGTGAAGCTCTCTAAAATCTTCAACAAGATTTGATGAACACCTGATCAAATCTAGGTTTGATGAAACCTATATAATTTTATTAACCAATGTCACCCCAATAAATTCAGTTTTAAAAAATCACCCCTGGCTGGTGTGGCTCAGTGGATTGAGTGCTGACCTGCAAACCAAAGGGTTGCGGGTTCGATTCCCAATGTAGGGCACATGCCTGGGTTGCAGACCAGGGCCCCAGCAGGGGGCGCACAAAATGCAGCCAGCCACACATTGATGTTCCTCTCTCTAAAAATAAAGTCTTTTTTAAAAAGTAAAAATAAAAAGATTTGATGAGCTCCCAGGTTGAACGCAGGGAGGTGCGAGGAGGGTGGTGCACGTGGAGCAGGTGTGCCCTTCCCTATGCAGCTCTTCCATCTGGTTGTTCCTGAGTTATGTCCTTTTATAAAAAACCCGTAATCTAATAAGTAAAATGTTTCTCTAAGTTCTATAAACTACTTTAGTAAATTAATCAAACCCGAAGAGGGAATCATAGGAAAACATAATCTATAGCCCATTCGTCAGAAGCACCTGGGCTTGCAATAGGCAGCACCTTGTAGGACCGAGCCCTTATTCTGTGGCATCTGTCACTGTCTCCAGGTAGACAATGTCAGATTTGAGTTCGTTGCTTGGTACTGTTGGAAAAGGCACACATCTGAATGTGGCTGATAGTGAGCATCTGGGCGCTGCGTCGTGCCCTCAGATGGCCTCCCAGGTACGGAGGTCCCGGCGTCCTGTCTCTGAGCAGCCGTGGACCTGTGCTTTGAATTTCTTATCGGTACAAGGGGAAGGGTGGTGGAACCTTCCTCCCGGGACCATGCTGAGGATGCAGGTGCCTAGCATGGTTTAAGCAACTCTGGGACACACCCTGGGCATTGAGGAATGTGAACAGATGATGCCGAGCTGGCGGGAAACCCTGACCCCGGAGCCCAACCACTGAGTCTGGCTGTACCCCCTGGGGTCCATCCTGCCCTGAGAGGCCCCTTCCTGGTGCGCCCACCTCCCTCCAAGGCCCCAGGTAAGGAGACCGTGGACATGCGCAGAGTGGCAGATGGGCCTGGGCTGGATTGCCTGCAGGGTCCAGGGAAAGGGGGCTCAGTCCTCTGGCATCCGGGCCCCGCCCGCCCCAGGCTCGCAGGCAGAGCGCTAATATGGTGCTGTTTTCCAGAGGAGGCAGGGCCCATCGCCAGGCAGGGATCCTCAGCATAGCTTCCCGAGCTGTCCCTGAGGGAACAGGGCTCGGCAGCCAGGCCAAGAGCGCCTGGAATCCAGTTTACGAGGCCCGAGGGGCCGAACGCCTGTGTGCGTGGGGTCTTCTGCAGGTCCCCACATTCCAGCCTCACCACCTGCCCTGGGGAGGGGCGGGGAGGGGCGGGGAAGGGAGGGAAGAAGGCAGCTTGTGACCCCTGCACGGCTGCCTCCTCTCCGTAGAACCTGACTGGTTGGTGGCATGCGGGAGGGTGACTAGGGCCCATGTCACCGAAGATCTGAGTCCTCTCTCAAACACAGGGAGGTTGGGGCCTGTCCGCAGACTTCTAGGGTTCTGGAGCGGCAGGTGAGACTGGGGGGACAGCCCCAAGGAGAGGGCAGAGTGAGGTGGGTACGCAAGGCAACCATGCCCTGCGGTCAGCCTCTCAGCTGCTCTGTGCAGGGCAGTAAAGCACCGTTGCCCTGGGTGCCCGAATTAACCATCCCCGCCCTCTGCCCTCCCCGGTCACCAGGACTAAAGGGTCCTCTCGCCCACAGGGCACCCAGGGCCTAGCTTATTCATTCTTTTGATCAGTGCCAAATGTCATCCTGTCTAGAGGCATCATTTAATCCCTGACGCCACGAGCCTTACTGTCCCCGTTTTCCTGATGGAAAAACAGTCATAGAGAGGGGAAGTGATTTGCCCAAGGTCACCTGTCCCATTGAGCCCATCTTGGCACGTGGGCTCTTCCTCACCACGACTCACAGGCCCCCTGGGAAAGCACATGGGTACTGAGCATGTGTGTATGAGTATTGTGTACATTCGTGAGGTGCGTTGTGTCCTTATGTGGGAGTGTGTACCTCTAAGGCTGAGAGCGTGTGCACACCATACTCACCAAGTGATGTGTGTGTGCATTTTGTGTGAGCGCGTGACTGCCTGTCGTGAGTCCAGCCGATTGGCTGTGAGCTCCGTGTGTGTATCTTACGGTGGGCGGGGGTACGTGTGCCTGCACAGACGTGTGTTTGGGCAATGAAGCATATCTGAGCAAGGCTGTTTGCACCTGTGCGAGAGCCACACAGGCTCCAGGACAGAGCAGCCTGAGTCTTCAGATGATTCTACAGCCATTTATTGTGCTCCAGTGAAATAGAAAAAGTGCTCGCGTTACAAACACTGCTGTCACATCCACATACGCCAGTCGCTGCAAACCAAACTGCGTGTGTCCGCTGGGTTTCTGGGCATGCAGTTGGCTCCCACTATGGGAATGGGGCGGGGGCAGGCCGAGCCTGGGCTCTGGGGGCTTCGCTTGGGGGGCTTCTTGTCCTGGAGGGAACCCACCTGTGAGGGAATGGGGGCACAGCCGGGGTAGCTTTGCTCAGTGCGTCTTTTGGGTGCTGCTGGGAACACCCGGCTCAGTGTTGGACCCTGCAGCGCTCCAGGGAGGAGGGCCCCCATCCCCCCCACAGAGCCCCTCAGTCTGCTCCCCCTAAATGCTAACCCTGTAGGCAGGTGCCAGGGGCTAAAGGGCGCCATGCAGGGGGCAGGGGGCAGCGGGACCGGGCTAGGCCCTGCCGATAGCAGCAGCCAGCCTCCCTGGGGGAATCCAGGAGGCCCAGGGCTCTAGGCAGAATTGTAGTAGTTGTGCAGGTGGTGGTTGTGGGCGGGCTCGCCCAGCTCTGGGTACTCAGGCGTCAGGCAGTACTTGGGGTCGTAGACCTGGCGCGGCAGCCCGTACACTGTCATGCCCCGCTGTGAGGCCCCCTTATTGCTACCCATCTGCAGGCTGACATTGAGAGTGTCACAGTGCTCCATGCCCAGGCCCGGCTCGAAGATCTGCCGCTTGGTCCCAGGAGCTGTCATGCCGGCCTGTGGAAGGCAGCGCAGTCAGGCCGCGGGTCTGGCAAGGGGCAAGGGCCCCCCGGCCTGCCTCCCGGCCCTCCACACACCTGGCTGGCTCCCTTGTTGGTGCCCATCTGCAGGCTGATGGTGGCCTGGTCCAGCGGCTGGTCCGTGCCCAGCTTGGGGTCGTAGAGGTGGCGCCGGGTGCCATAGGCCGTCATGCCCTGCTGGCTGGCAAACTTGTTGGTGCCCATCTACGGAGCCAGGAGGAGAGTCACCTGGAGGGTCACAGAGCCTCACCACAGACCACCGTGGCCAGCGGACACACGTGCCCTCTGACGGCACGTGTGTCCACCCTCAGGCTACAGACTGGAAACTGAGGCCCAGAGAAACTGTCACAGCTCAGTGAGTGGCTCAGAGCACTCAGGCCTGACTTCCAAGGTTCAAGTCCCAGCTTGACTCCTCATACTTGGGTGATCCTGACAAATGAGCTGGCTTCTCTGGGCTCAGCTTCTGTATGGATGGTGTCATGTTAATGGTGCCTACCCTCTAGAGCTCTTCGAGGAGTGTGTTAGGGTACAGAGTTGGAGCATAGCACCTAACATGTAGTTTAATTAAGGCCAAATATACTGTCCCCCAAAGCCTGCAGGGACCAGAATCCTTCCGGGCCTCAACCTCCCGCCTCGTCTGAGCGGCAGTGACACCAGGTGGGGAAGGGGCAGTACCTGCAGCCCAATGATGTTCCGCCCTTCTCGAAGCTTCTCTGGCTCAAACTTCCGCTCCTGCTTCTCTGCATACTTTACCCCCACATTCACCTTGTTCCCTTTTGTCTTGGCCTGGGGGAGAGAGAGGGGGACAGGGACTGATGAGGGAGTCTCTGGCTGCACCGTCCCTTCCAGCACCTGCTCTGCCCCTCCCACCCACACTGGGCTCAGGGACATGGGCGGCCCCATTCACATCCCAGCCCGGACGGTCCACAGTCCCTTTGCCCCATGCCCACCCTTGAACTACACTCACCATGCTGGCCAGGGCCAGGAGGGTGGACTGCACCTGCGTGTGGTTGGTGTTCTCGAACAGGTCATTTGCCTCAAAGATGTCGTGGGGCTTCACCCCGTACTTGGTGATGGCCTTGATGAAGTTGCCTATGTTCTCCAGCTGGAGGGGAGCAGGTGGCAAGTCAGTGGTGGGGGATGGGGGTGGTGTCTGAGGGGCTACAGCGAGGGGTTGAAAGACTTACAAAGAGCCTGCGCTCACCTGGTGCCAATTTTGTGTTGACTCATTGATCTTCTTCACGGAGCCTGGCTGGAGCTTATTGATGAACCTGAAAGGAGTAGGGGACAGGCGTGACAAAGGCAACCCCCACTGCCCCACCCAAGCCCTACCCAACAGGGCAAGGGGTCATGATGACCATGGATAGGCGACATCCATTTTGCTGTTTCCCACCGCAGTCTGCTCTCCACTGGAGCCCCCAACCCCACCCGCGCCACAATGCACCCCCAGAACACAGGCAAGACCAGGACGGAAGACAAAGTGCAGGAGCTCGACTCTGCCCCTGGTCAGAAAGTCTCCTTGTCCAAGGTGTGTGGGAGTCCCCTGCTGCACCCCACTCAATGGAGACTGAGTTGCAGTCTCCTTTGGGACCTCAACACCGCGGAGAGCCTGCAGCTGAGGCCTCCGACTTCCCTGCCACACTCACCCTTTGACCTTATCCGGTCGCTTGACTTGAAATACCACCGATATGCTGGCCTCTCCCCAGTATCTCCCTGGAGCCCAGGCCTTTCACTCCCCCACCGAGCTGCCTACATGGGTGATTCAAACCATGTACAGCCCACCCTGGACTCCCAGCACCCACCTGCCCTACAGAACTTTCCCTTCCCCGCCCCCCAGTTCTGGAAACCCACCCTTCCAGGGGTGCAGGCAAAGCCCTCAGACTTATCCTTGACTTTCCTCTGCCTTCTCTCACCCCCTCATCCAATTCCTCAGCAAGGCCTCCGGCTCTACCCTCTGAAGACATCCAGAGGGTCACCACCCTGCTCTGAGCCCCTAGGGTCTCCTTCTCCCTCCTGCTGTTTGTTCTTTTTTTTGTTTAAATCCTCACTCTAGGACTCCCATATTGATTTTAGAGCAAGGGGAAGGAAGGGAAAGAGAGAGGGAGAGAAACAACGATTGGTTGCCTCTTGCCTGGGACCCGACTTGGACCGAACCCGAATGTGCCCTGAACAGGAATCAAACTCATGACTTTTCGGTTTATGGGACAAAGCTTCAACCAGCTGAACCACACCGGCCAGGACCCTCCTGGGCTTTTGCAATGACCTCCCCGTGGGCTCCCAGCTTCCGCCTCATCCCCTACACAGCATTCATCTCTCAGCTAGAATGGCCTTTTTAAAACAATGCCAGTTACTCCCCACTTCAACATCGTGCCCTGGTTCCCTAACTCCTTAGCATAACTGAAAGGCCTCATGTCCCCTGGCCCGCAGCTAAATACCTCCCCCTCCCCCGGTCACCCTGTGGCAGCCCCTCGCGGTTCCTGGAACACACCAGGCATGTGCCTGCCTCAGGGCCTTTGCACTGGTTGCCCTTGCCTGGCCCACTCTTCCTCAGACACCCACTGACTTCCTCCCTCACTTCGTCCAAGGTTCTGCGCAAATGTTACCTCTTCAGAAAGACCTCCCAAACCATCCCGCACAAAGCAGCAAGCTTTCAACCCACGTAGCCCCCCATCCTTCACCACTGACTCTTCTCCACGTCGCTTCCCGCCCCAGGCAAGTATGTGAGGATTTCCTCCACTGTTCGCCCCGTCGCTTCCACTCAGCCCTGTGAGCCCGGCGGCCGGCTGGTCCATATCGCCAGTGCCTAGACCGGCACACAGCAGGAGCTCCGCAGACCGGGTGCACGAAGGCCTGGGGGCGAGTGGCCCTGTCTGAGCTGGGACACCGGGCTGTCTCCCTATTTCTTGTTCCCAATGGATATTGTAGGGTGTCCTCCTGTGTGCCCCGCTTTCTAGCACCTAGGGCTTGGTAAGGAACATTCACAAGGGCACACTCGGGCCTTTATGGTCACCCTGTCCTGGGTCAAACTCAGAGATACACACAGGACCTCTGCTGGGCTCAGGGCTGCGCCCAGCGTTAGAACTGTGGTTACATCTGGAATCAGGGCTCGGGAGCTCAGAAGTTTGCATTTCCTTCAGTGATTTAATTCTGAGAAGAGGAGAAAATCAGAGCCTACTTAAATTACAGCGGCACATCCCTCATGTCACTGAGTCAGTGATGGACAGCCATTGTTACCTGTTATCCTTTAGCTGTGACCTCCCTTTCTTGGGACACAGGAGGCCATAAATGGGCCTATGTGCCCTGTGTGCATGGCAGTTAAGCTGCTAGAATCTGGAGTCATTTCTGTTGGAACTGCATGGCAATGTGGGTGATGGGGTTTACTTGAGTCTCAGTTTTCTTTCCTGTTCAATGGGCACAATGGTTATTTGGCACCTCTGAGGACTGTTTCAAGGTCTGAGATACAAAGTGTCCAGCCCAGCTCATGGTGGGTGAAGGGGCTGAGGGGGAGAGGCGAATACCGGCGCGGGGGCCGTTCTAGGCAGAGTCTGGGCCAACAGGGCCCCCCACTCACTCGCAAAGGATGATGCCGTCTTTGAGGCCGTCCATGAAGTTGTTGCCTATGCGGCGTCCTGTCACCCCCTCGATCCACTCCCGAAGCTCCTGCTCGCGCTGGAGGTCATACTTCTGGGCCAGCTGGGGCAGGGGGCACAGAGATGATGGTGAGAACTGGGGGGAGGCAGGCTTTGCTCCCTAAGCCTGATCTCCTTCCCTATCCCTTCCCAACTAAGGCAATTTGGCCACAGCATCCATGGGGGGAGGGCGCCTGAGGGGGCTGAGGGCCAGGGCTGAGGTGGCACCTGCCCAGGGGGCCATTCCGGGCATTCCGAGGTTTGGCACCAGAGAGTGTAGACGAGGGTGGGTGGAGAGGGGGATACTCTGAGTTGGGGGGTGGCGTCTGGCCTCCTGGTTCCCCCTCCAGGCCAAACTTGGGGCTTTGCTTTCCCTGGTCCTGCCCCCATCCCCTCCCCCCGCAGGAAGACTAGGCGGCCTCGGGCAGGGAGGAGGAGCCCAGAGGGGGTGCCCCAGGCCGCCGCCTTGCTGGGGACTGCTCTGCCTTGCCCCTCTGCCCGCCTCCAGGTCCTCCTCTCGGCTCCGGCTCCGGCTCCGGCTCCGGCAGGGTGTCGCAGCTTGTCTTTGTGTTACCTCTGACCCTAAGCGCTGAGTCTGTATTTCTCGGTCTCCTCATTCCCCTGGGCCCCTGGCTCTCTCTCCCCCACTGATGTCTGCCGTTCCTTAGCCATGTCTTCCGGTCCCCATCTCTCTGTGTCTGGCCAGGGCTCATGGCTCATCCATCTGTGGGTCACTCTCTATTTTGGACTTCAGGTTCCCTGCCTCTGGTGGGGGTGGTACTCGTCTCCCCCCTCTACTCCTCCATCTGTGTCTCACTCTTATTTCGCTCCTGGCTTGCTGCTCCCTGTCTGTCTCTCTCTTGTCTCAGGCTCCCAGAATCTTCGTTTCTCTAGAACCCTCTGTCCCCAGCTCAGACTGGCTCCCAGGCCCTTGGGGACACAGCTGTCCCTTCTCCTGAGGAAGGGGGAGGTGGGAAGGGGCAGCCCCCTCACCTGGCCTGGGCCCTGACACCCCCTCCCCATCAGGCCGGCTTTATAAAGCAAACCGGCCCTTATATAGCGCAGGCCGGGCTCCCCAAGGCCGCCTTATATGGTGTGGCGGCTCGGCTGGGCTCTGGGGCCGGCGCTGGGGAGGGGGGGTTTGGGGGACGGGGCGGGGAGTGCTGGGATGTGTCTCCCGTCTGAGCATCCGCCCCCCCACCCGCCCGCTCCCTCCCCCAGCCACGAGAATCCCCAACCCAGGTCCCAATATCAGCTCCCCACTTCCTGGCTGTGGGACCCTAGAAAAAGCCACCCTGTGCCTCAGTGTTCCCTTCTGTCAGTTGGGGCTGGGACTCCTCCCCTGGCAGGGACTCTCTCTGGGCAGGTCTCAAGGGAACATTCCGGTGGGTTGGGGCCTTCGGTGTGCTGCCCTGAAGAAGCTGACCCCATTCTGGTGTAGAAAGGGAGCTAGGCCAGGGGCCTGGCTCTGCACCTCTCTTTTGTAGGACCCTAGCTACTTGCCTCTCCACTTGGGACCTCAGTTTACTCATTCATAGCATGGAGGTCATGTCTCAGTGTCTTCTTAATTCTGAGATTAGGAGACCCCTGCGCTGTTCCTAATGCCTGTTCTCTGCCCTCCTCAGCTACCTCCTTCTCCCTTCACTTTCTAGGCCTCGCCTCCCAGGAACCCCAGCTCTCAAGCACTCCCCAACTTCTTTGTCAGTCTGGGGGAGTGGGAAAGATCAATAAGTCTCCCCTGGCTCCTCATGAAAATAAAGCCTTCACAGGGGATTCTGATCAAGCAGCGTCTTCACAATGGAATGACCCCCCCTCTGTTTATCTGTGGTTGTCTGTGTGCCCCCACTCCACCCCCAACAGTAGCTGAGGACTCTGAGATGCTCAGGAGGGGGAGGAAGGCAGCTCCTACAGCACACTTGTCCCCCTTCCCCCTCAGGTTCCAAGCCATACGGGATCGGCAGGAGGGGGTCCAGGGAACCCCAAGAGCAGGGTCTCTGGGCTGGCAGAGTGTGTGGGCCAGACAGAAGGAGGCCCTCTAGCCCTACCTTGTTCTTGACCTCGGCTGACAGGCCGTAGGCAGGGCCCCGGTTGAAGTGAGCGGAGGACATGCCGGCCGGTGGTGGGCAGTCAGAGGTGACAGTGGCTCTGAGGACAGCAGCAGGAGCTGAGGCTCTGTCTGTACTCTCTTCCCTCCTCACAGGTTTTTGAAGCTACAGAGGCTGCCCGGGCCTCTTCCAAGGCTGTCCCATTGGCCACAGGGGCCTGCCGAGGGGCGGGGCACCCCCCACCTCAGCCACCCCCCTTTCGTGATGTCAGGGCCTTGGTATTGGGAGCTGATTGTGTCATTGTTTCCACCTAAGGGGGCGGCCAGGGTTATTCTTTTTGGGGGGGTGCTTAGCCAGACCGAGACCAACCTTTCCTCACTCCTCCCCAACCCCCACTGTTCACTGGGCCTCTGGCTGGGTCCCCCAGTCTCTGTGTCTGTCTCTGAGGCTCTCTGTGTCTCTGAGTCCGTCTTTTCATGTCTCTCTCTAGTCTTGATTCAGAACTGCCACATGTGGTGGTTTATCAAGTACCACCCTTGGCTTAACTCCAAAAACCAATAGTCCATAAATATAGACAAGTCCCTTCTGCTCTCTGAGCCTTTGTTGTCACATCTGTAAAATGGGCTAATGATAACTTTGTGAGAATGTTGCGAGGGTGGAAAGAAACAAGGCCTCTGACTTGCCCAGTGCAGTGCCTGGCATAGGACAGAACTCAGGGAGTAGCAGTACTTCTGCTGGGAATCTGGTACCCCACTTCTGTCCCCTCCAGTCCCTTATAAGATCCTGGGGGAATAGCCCTGGCTGGTGTGGCTCAGTGGATTGAGCACCAGCCTGCGAACCAAAGGGTCGCTGGTTTGATTCCCGGTGTAGGACACATACCTGGGTTGCAGGCCAGGTCCCCGCGCGAGATGCAACCACACACTGATGTTTCTCTCCCTCTCTTTCTCACTCCCTTCCCCTCTCTAAAAATAAATAAATAAAATCTTTAAAAATTAAAAAAAAAAAAAAAGATCCTGGGGGAACAGAGATCATGGATCTCACCCTCCCCACCCTCCCCATCTGCCTGTGCGTTGCCTGAGCCACGGGGTGACTCTGTTAGCAGGTTTCAGGCCATGGAGTCCCCACATATCCCTGGCCCAGGCACAATGGCCTGGAGGGAATACATGCAAGCAGCCGCAGCCACCACAGAGTGATATGCCCACATTATGCCACATATGTCAAGGCCATGTCAGTGACACTTGGATGATATGTCAGCACACTGCCATCCACTAATGTTAAAGACATGCAATTTGCTGGCCACACGCTAAGGGCACAGCTGTGATATGCTAATATGACAACAGGCCCCGTTCCAAGCCCTGTGCATGAATTAACTCCATCCTCACAACACTCTCACAAGTGGACAGGATAATATGCAATATAAAGATGGAGAAACTGAGGCACGAGGGTGTGGAATCACCTCCCCAGTGTCACACAGCTTGCCAATGGCAGAGCAGAATTGGATCCCAGGTCCATGCCCTTAATGCTAAGAGGCAAAGGCAGGTTTCTCAACCTCAGCACTGTTGTCAACGGGGCTGGATGATTCTGTGTGGGGGGAGCTGTTCTGGGCATTGTACTTTAAGCAGCATCCCGGTTCTCTGCCTACTAGATATCAGCAACGCCCTCTTAGTGCTGACAAACAGAAATGTGTCCAGACATTGACAAATGATCCCAGGGGATGGGTAGGGCAGATTTCCCCCATTTGAGAAAGACTGGGCGAAGGCAACTAAGGACAAGTTGTGTCATGTAATGATATGGTGAAGATGCACTAAAATACATAAATGAACTATTGGCTCCTGGTAGGTACTCAGTGCATTGGATCTGTTCATTCATTCCTCACAACATCCTTATGGGTGGAGTCACTAGGAGGCACAGACACTGGAAGCCGACCGCCCGGGGTCATGCAGCATGAGGGCGGCGGAGCCAGGATTCGAACACTAGGATTCCGGGGTCCCGCCCACGGAGAGCGGCCTACGGTGAGCCACATGTCGCTACTGCGCATGCGAGTACCCGCGCCCCTGCGGAGCTCGAGGACGGCGCCCCCTGGCGGCCCAGAATGGGCGGAGGCGGGGCCTGGCCGGCACCCCGCGGCGGTGACGCGCTCGCTGACTCACTCCACCCAGCCTCCCGGCCTGCTGCCGCCTGGCCATTTATAGAATCCGCGCCGGCTCTGAAGTCACAGCCCAGGCACGACGGGGGCGGGGTGGGGAAGCACTTGGCGCGCCCCTCAAAGGGCAGTCCGGGGTCTCCTTAGATGGTGGCCCCTTCAGGGTATGTCCTGTCCTTCCAATTCTGGGTCTGTGTCTTTGCACCTTATACTTTGTCTCTAGGTCGCACTACATCCATCCCTCTGCATCATCTAGCCTTTTTTCTGTCTCAGTCTTTGTCTCAGTGTCTCCCTAAATTTTCCGGTCACATTGCCTCTGTCTTTCTCTGTCCCCATGTCTCCTCTCTCTCTATTATCTCTCAATCTCTGTGTCTCTGTTTCCGTTCGACGTCTCTTGATGTCTCTGTACTGTCTCTGTCTCTCTCTGTGTCTCTGTCTGGTAGATGGGCTTAGAGACAGAAAGAGGGGGCTGATGCCATCCCGAGGCCCCCACCTCGGGGGACTTCCCATCGTTGGCTGCCTGGTGTGCATTCCACTCAGCTCCTATCTGGCTTTTTCCAGGAACGAGGCCCTTGGTGCCTCAGTTTCCGATCTAAATGAAAAGATGGGCTCTTGTAAGGAACAGTTTCCCCAAGGGTTCAGGTCAGTCATGAAAGAAAAGCCCTGGCTTTTTTCAGTCCTCGGAGGCCCGTAAAACCTTCCTGACTCTCAGAACACACACACAACTCTTTACTTGTGTGTCTCCAGGAGGGACCCCAAGCCCCGTCCCCTCTGCAACTGCCTATCTTGGCAGCCCCGCTGAGCCATCCCGTCCTCACCTAGCTTCCCCTCCGGAAAGCAGGAGGAGGCCGTTGTACGGAATGGCTTCTGTTTTCCGAGGACTTGCTCCATGCCAGGCACTGTGCCAGACACAATCTCATTTAATCCTCACCACCACCCTCTCAGGGTAGAAGCTCTTAGGCCCACTTTATAGACAGGAAAACGGAACGTTCAGCAAGGCCAAGCCGCGCTCTCACGGTCATGCTGCTCTTACAGCTCCCAGATCCTCCCACACGTATTCCGTCGTGGGTGCCCAAGTAAGCTCCCACCTCAGGACCTCTGCACACTTCCTTCCCCTTGGACCCATTTTCACAAGATGCCTACATGGCCTTCCCTCATATCCTCTGCTCAAATGTCGCCTTTTCAGAGAGCCCCTCCCTGACCACAGCTCTAGAAGAATACTGTCCCCCAGAGAGTGGGGATGAGGGAGGGGAGCTATTCACTTAAGTGTTTGCACCTGGCATAAAATGTCTACCTCTGTAAAAACTCTCATTTTAAAACCTGATTTTTAAAAAGCATCCCACCCTCTCTATTTCCTTTCCTTGCTTTCTTTTCCTTATTATTTCCTATGTGCTTATTATCTGTCTCATCCAGCAAGAACAGAAACTCCACAGGGGCAGGACTTTGCTTGTTCGCTGCTCTATCCCCAGTTCCCAGTACAGCGCCTGTCCATAGCAGAGGCTCAAAAGATGCTCAGGGTGTGAACAGAATTAAAGGCAGTGAGCCAGGTGACTGAAACCCCTGGCTGTCTGAAATGCTGGTGCTCAACCACTCACAAATTAAGGGCACAATTTCCCAGCACCTCCCAGACATAGGACAGTTGAGGTGGGGGTCATCATTGTGTTTCCATCCCAATCCTCCTGAGAAGACCAGTTGGAGGGCTGAGAGGGGGGTGAGTCACAGGCTATGGTGGCAGTTATTCCAGGCTGTTCTATAGCTGCCAACTCCCTTGTCTGGCCTTGAGCAATGCAAGAAGTTTTGTAGGAAAAATGTCTAGATCAAGAGAGCTTTTTATATGTATGTATGTATTTATATATTTATTTAATCCTCACGGGAGGACATGCTTATGGATTTTAGAGAGGGGGGAAGGGAGGGAGAGAGAGGGGCAGAGAAACATCGATGTGAGAGAGAAACATTAATGGCTTGCTTCTTTTATGCACCGTGACCGTGGACTGAACCTGGGACCTTTCAGTTTACGGGACAACACTCCAACCAATTGAGCCACACTGGCCAGGGCAAGAGAGCTTTTTTAAAACAGTACATAGGCGATTAGGTTGGCAAAAATCAGAATACTGGACCACACACCAGCACCTAGGAGGCTGTGGGAATGTTGTTGATGAGAGTGAGCAATCTGTCGATAGCTTTCAAAATGACAAGTGCCTTTTCTGATGGTTAACTTTGTGTAAACTTGGTTGGACTACAGGATGTCCAGATGTTTGGTCAAACATTATTCTGGGTGTTTCCAGGGGGGTGTTTTTGGATGAGAGTAACGTTCACATTGTTTGACCGAGTAAAGCAGGTTGCACTCCTCAATACAGGTGGACCTCCTCCAATTCAAGTTGGAGGTCTGAATGGAACAAAAAAAGCTGACCCTCCACGGAGTAAGAGAGGATTTCTCCTGCCTGAGTGCCTTCAGCTGGGATATTGGTCTTTTCCTGCCTTCAGACTAGAACTGAAACATCAGTGCTTAGGTCTCAAACCTGTGCCAACTTTCAGACTGGAACTTGTACCGTCAGCTCTCCTGGGTCTCCAGCTTGCCCACTGCAGACCTTGGACTTCTCAGCCTCCGTAATCATGTGACTCAGTTCCTTATGGTAACTCATATATAGTCTATATTATAATAGACTATATAATCATAATTCATATATGGTCTATATTATAATAGACTATATAATAGACTAATGAATCATATATACAGGGTGGGGCAGAAGTAGGTTTACAACTGTTTGTATGGAAAATAATACAATAATTAATGAATAGTAACACAAGAATAAACAGTGTTTTGCATACTCACAACTATACACCTACTTTTGCTCCATCCTGTGTATGTATATATATTCTTTTAGTTTCATTTCTCTGGAGAACCCCGTCTATCTAATACACTTTCTGAACCAATATATCTTTTTTTTTTTAGAGTAGTCCATAGGAGTCCAAGTGTAGGTGTGAA